AAATTAAAAAATATGAATGAATGAATAAAGTTAAGTAAAATAATTCTTTGAAGAAATTTTACTTTTCAGAATACCTTTTCATAAGTTCTATACAACATAAGTTCCTCATAAACTCAAATCTCTGGAAATCAAAATACTTCTAAAGTATGGTTATTTGATTATGATCCAACTAACAAAAAATAGATAAGCTCTCTCAATAGGGTCTTCACATCATGACCTCACCCCAAGTCAGCCAGGACCGTAAAGCATAAACACTGGTTCCTGTACAGGGGAACACTTGGAACTTGAATCCTGGATCCTCCCACATAGCTTCAGCATTGCTAGCATTGCATGCTGTGGTGCCATCCCTGCTTGGTGTGTGTGTGTGTGTGTTGTGGAGTTTGCCAAAGGTTGTATGTGTTCTTTAGAGAGAGAGAGAGGGGGAAAGTGAGAAATCGGGGGGGGGGGTCATGCTGCAATCCCTTCTCCATTTTCCTGGGATATTGAACACACGCCCACATGTTTTTTTTGTTTTGTTTTTAATAAGTTGTTTGTTTGTTGGTTTAATTTGACCGGAGAGGCACAGAGTGAGAGAGAGTGGGGGGGTGGTGAGAAAGCGAGCCACCAGGTCCGGGACTCAAACAACAGTCGGCCGTATGGGAGTCCAGCGCCCTTAATCACCATGTCACCTGCTGGCCCTGTAATTTTATTATTTTTAGAAAAATTTTTGCTATAGGGCATGTACACTCGCTAGAGAGACAGAGACGAGGGTGGAAGGCCACACCACAATCCGTTCTCTTGGAATTTTTGGGTATGCATGTACAGGTGCCCAGCATGAATTTTAAGCCTTTTGGTCCGGGACTAATACCACGGTTGGCCACGTGGGAGTCCAGTAACGTAACCATTACGTAGTCTGTTGGTCCCCTCTTCCAGACTTGCTGTAGTTCATTACCTGACCTCAATGCAGGCATTTCCAATATTCTGTTCACTGCTCTCCTTTCCTCTGTCCTTTTTGTAGGATTATGCTATCACAGCTTTGCTTGTCATAACTATACAGAGAGGTTTTTTTTTTTTTTTTTAAGAATTATTTATCTATTCATTTATTTATTTTAATTTGACTAGAAAGGGACTGAGTGAGAGAAAGTGAGAAAGCAAGTTGCCAGGTCTCGGACTCTAGTGGTTGGCCATGTGGGAGTCCAGCACCCTTAACTACCACACCACCTGCCGGTGACGGAGAGAGACAGAAAACGAGACAGAAAACGAGAAATCACCCCCAGTGGAGATGTCCACGCATAGTCCCTTCTCCATTTTCCTCTCAGGATCTTGGGCACTCACATGCACCTGGTATGAGTTTAAGCCACTGGGTCTGGGACTCGAACCATGGTCGACTACATGGATGGGAGTCCAGCAACATAACCATTATGCCATCTTCTGGTCCCCCAAATTATTTTGACTTTATTTTAATTTGACCAAAGAGGGACAGAGTGAGAGTGAACAAGCCACCAGGTCCAGGACTTGAACTACAGTTGGCCATGTGGGAGTCCAGTGTCCTTAACTACCACGCCACCTGCTGGCCTTCTGTTGCTTTGTTTATACCCAGTTTCTTCTGATAGCTCCTTGATTTTTTTTTTTTTTTAATTTGCTCTAAGGCATGTGCACTTGTTAGACAAAGTGGAAAGCACCCCCCAGAGAGGATGGCAGTCTCTTCTCTTGGCATTTTAGGTACACATGCAAATGTGCCTGGCTTGTTTTTAAAGCCTCCACATTGGAACTCAAACTGCTCGGTCAGTCATGGGGATCCAGCTGCCTTAACCACTACACCACTGGCTGGCTCAAGAGTTTCTATTTTTCAGAGGTTCCCAGGTCATGCTCATTTTGTTCATCTAAGGACCACACTTTTTTTTTTTTAATTAATTTACATTCATTTATTGAGCATCGTCACAGCATACAAAATGTGGTTTCCTACCCTCCTCCCACACCATCTCTAGTGTTAAGGTTTTTTTTCCTCCCTTTTGTCCCCCACATTTTATTGATTCACAAAATTTCTTAAATAATCTAACTACTTTCAATAGCAAGTTCAGCTGATATATACATATCTGCGAGTACCTGTCTGACTTTAGGTGTAAAACTGAGCAGAATGATAAAGTAGCACCTAGCTGATGCTATATAGCTTACGATGGTCATTAGGTATTTAATACATTTTTTAATTTCAAGAAAAGCAGTTTTAGCTTTAATAAATCAAAGAAATTCTAAGAAACTTTACTTAAAACTTAAAGCCAGGGGACCAGCAGGTAGTGTAATGGTTACATTGCCGTACTGCCATATAGTTGACCACGGTTCAAGTCCCAGGCCCGGTCACTTAAACTTATGCCAGGCACCAGCGTGCATGCCCAAGATCCCAAGAGGAGAAGGGATTGTCCTTCGGTGGTGATTTCTTGCTTTCTGTCTCTCTCTCTGTCTTTCTAGCGCGCACACATGACCTATAGCAAAAACCTCTCCAAAAAAAAAAAAAAAAAAAAAAAAAAAAGCCAGGGAACAGGTTAGGATTCTGTTCATATAATAGGTACGTGAACCTATCGGCAGCTCAAGAGAAGACAAAAATCCTTTAAAAACCGGAAAACAAAGCCTAGAAGAAAATCAGCAATGTTTTAGTCAAAAGTCATAAAATTCTATTTCACAAGTTCAGTCTCATGTACTTTATCTTGTTTTATTATGATCTTCCTAATTAAATTTTGGGATATAATACTCAACTCCAGATTTGTCTCTACAATTGGCCATTTTCTTAGCTTTTGAACTCTTATTTTTGTGTGTCTGTATGTGTCTTGGAGAAGATCTTCTTGGGTTGATTGTATTTGGGGTTCTTTGTATTTCTTGGGACTGGATCTTTGAGTGCCTCTCTAGGTTTGGAAAGTTTTCTTGCAGGATTTAATGGAATAGGTTATAAATACTATTATGAGTCTCCTCACCTTCTGGGATACGAATTATCTGGATGTTTGGACGTCTAGTATTTCTCATCATTTTGGGGGGCAATTTATCTCAGTCTTTGTGGTGGAATTTTCTAGGTCAGAGGTTCTGTCTTCTACATCCGAGATCTGATCCTCTACATAATCTAATCTGCTTTTAATACTTTCAAGGGAGATTTTGACCTCCTGTATTTCAGCCTTCATCTCTAACAGTTCCATTTGATTCTTTTTTATGGTGTGTATTTCCTCTTTCAGATCGTGCAAGAATTTCCTTACCTGGAACTCATCAGCTCCTTTCTCCTGCCTCTTATGCAGTTCATTGTCTCTCTTCTCCATCTCTGTTAGTTTTATCACTGTGAATATTCTGAATTCTTTATCTGACATTCCTGTGAGTTTCATTGTACTGTCTGAAGATGAAGTTATTCTTTTCCCTTGGAGGAGAGGTATTTTCTTCATATCCCATATTTCTTGTGACCCTGTGGTGATTTCTGGTCATCTGATGGATGGTGCATTTCTTCCTAAATCTTGACGTTCAACCTGAGCGTTCAGAGACTTGTAGGAGGAGGTGATCTATAATCTCTGTTCTGTTTGTTTTTCACTTTTTGCACATCAGATTCAGTGGAAATTGAATATTCTGTCCCTAATCATATTCAGATGTTTGGATCCTGTTCACTTGCACATATCTAGACACTTGGTGCGTGGAAGCTGCTAGAAATGAATCGGGAGGGAGAAGTCTCAGCAGAAAATACTCATTTTTAGTCAGTGAAAGCAGTATTTCACAGCTCAAGTTCAGTAGCCATCTCAGGATGCCTATTGGGTTTGTCTTAGGACCACACTTTTAAAAACCTCTGCTTTAGGCGGACCAGCAGGTGGCATGGTGGTGAATGTGCTGGACTCTGACATGACTGACCGCGGTTCAGGTCCTGGACCTGGCAGCTTGCTTTTTCACTTTCCCTCTCTTTCTCTCTCTCTCTCACTGTTTCTTTCTGGTGAAGGCATGTGCCTGGTACAAATAAAACAATAATAAAATTAATTCTTTACCAAAAGAAGAACCTCTGCTTTACACTTTCAGATAAACTCTTCTGAGGCAACTCATATAATGCTATGGCTCTGTTTAGAAACTTTCTATGATTCCTTGTAACCGCGGTATAAAGAGCCTGTTTACTTTTTTTTTTTAATGTGCCAGAAGGCACATGTGTTTGCCTGGGATGGGAGATGAGAAAGTACATTGAGGATGGCCACTCTTCAGTTTCTTCTATTTCTTTCCCTGGGATTTGGGGCATGCGGGTCCCCCACCCCCACCCCCCGAGCCACTTTGTCCAAGATTAAAACCATGTAGTCAGCCATGTAGGACCACCATGCTACCCATTGGCCCACATCTGCTTTTTTTTAGCCTTTTCTCCCACTGGGCTATTCCGTATTCTTCATTCCCGGTTCTGATAATAGTTATATGACCTTAGGCAGATTGCTTGATTACCTCCTCAAGTGCCTTCATTTTGTAATTGGAATAATACCTCATAGCGTATGGTGTTTAAATGATTAAAAAATAATTGTAGCGTTCTTAGCATTAGAATCTGGCACTTTTGGGACTAGCAGTTAGTGTAATGGCTGTGTCTCTGGACTCGCATGTAGTCGACCGCGGTTCGCGTCCCGGACCCAGTGGCTTAAAACTCATGCCGGGTGTGGGTGTGTGTGCGTGCGTGCCCAAGATCCCGAGAGGAGAATGGAGGAGAAGGGATTGCGATGTGACCATCCCCTCGGGGGGTGATTTCCTGCTTTCTATCTCTGTCTCTGTCTGGTGAGCGCACGCGCCCTATAGCAAAAAAAGAATCTGGCACTTTTAGCTGTCATTTTCGAGTTTTCAGGTCACACCTATTCCTTAACAGTTCCTTAATTTATTAATCTTTTCATTTAAACTCCCCATTTTTTTAAAGAATTATTCAATTTTATGTATTTTTATTATTTTAATTTGACGATCGAGGAGTGGGTGAGAAAACAAGCTACTGGGTCTGGACCTCGGTGATGGTCAGCCATGTGGGAGTCCAGCACCTATAACCACACCACCTGCCAGCCTGTAAATTCCCATATTTTGAGTACCACTTTTGTAATATATTTTGTTACTTCTGTCCATTACTGATTAGCCCTGGTTTTTTTTTTGGAGAGGTTTTCGTTATAGGGTGCATGCGCTCGCCAGAAAGAGAGACAGAAAGCAAGAAATCACCCCCTGGGGGGGATGGGCATGCACACACTCACACACGTGTCCGGCGAGAGTTTAAACCACCGGGTCTGGGACTCGAACCGTGATCAGCTACGTGGGAGTCCAGCGACATAGCCATTACTCTAACTGCTGGTCCCAGCCCTGGTGTTTTGAGGATGGGAATCCTGTCTTTACCATCTTTGTGCTTAGATAACATTGGAGCAGTGCCCATTCGTTCGATGCTTATTAAATGTGTGAACAGCTAGTTTACCTTCTGTTATTTCCTTTCATTCCTTTTTTATTCATTTCTTTCATGATAGAGGGTTTGCACACGTACAGAGCGGGGAGCATCCTGCACAGGGTCTGCAAACACCATGATGCCCTTCCTCCAGTCCTCTATCTTGTCACATCACGGGCACCCATGTATATGTCACATGTGTTTTAAGCTGATGGGCCAGGGATTCATACCGCAGTAGCCATGTGAAATCGGGCTTCTCTGCTTCTCATTTATTTATTTAATTTAAAACAAGTACATTTAATCACTGTGCATCTTTACAGTATACAACATGGTTTTTTCCAGCATGGATATAGTGCATATCTGTCAGGTCAACCATGCTTCTCTTAAACAGAACATTACCACCCATCACTGGTGTTTTCTTTCTTTCTTGAGAAAGGGAGAGGAAGATGTGCATCCCCAGCAGGGTCCACACACGATCTCTGTTTAGCCTTAGCCAGCCTGGATCTCTCCTGGGTAGGTGTGAATGCCCAGCATGCACAGGGAGGCCTGGGTGTGAGCCAGGGTTCGGCATCACAGCATTGTATTACTGCCCTGCTGCTGTCAGCTGTAACTCACTGCTTTTCTGGGCACGTGTGCTTGTCAGAGAGACAGAGTACAACATCACCCCCCGGGGGATGATGGCCGTGCTGTAGTCCCTTCTCTCAAGGTTTTGGGCACGTACGAACATTCACCGGGACTGGGTTTCAACCTGCTAGGTCTAAGATTCAAACTGCGGTCAGTCCTGTGGTGGGAATCCAGGACTAAGCACTACACCTTCTGCTGACTCCAGTAATTCACATTTTAGTCCATTCAACCTCTTTTTATCGAGAGTAATTGTATTTTTTTGGCCAGGATAACAAATACAAATTAGACTGACCCCGTGTCCCATTGGTTAAAGGAACCAGAACCCATATAGCCCACCATGGAGTTTTAAGTCCCAGGTTTAAAGAACACATCAGGCATGTGGCGTTCAAATCCCAACATGGGGACTAGCAGTTAATGTAATGGCTATGTCGTTGGACTCAAATGTAGTCAGCTGTGGTTCCAGTCCTGGTCCTGGCGGCTTAAACAGCGTCTGCATGCGAGCCCAAGATCCCAAGAGGAGAATGGAGAAGGGATTGTGGTGTGGCCATCCCCCCTGGGGGGCGATTTCTCGCTTTCTGTCTCTGTCTCTCTGGCGAGCATATGCACCCTATAGCAAAAACCTCACACACACACACACACAAAAAACAGAAACACAAAATCCCAACACGGTGGAGAAATGCAGAGGGGTTTGTGGCATGACCACACTCCATTAGGAATGCTTTCGCCCTTTCTCTCCCCTCTGGCAAGCATACCTACCCTCTAGAAAATTAAAAAATTAACAAAACGAAGTTACATTAAAAGTAGAAAATGTGGACCTTAATGGCTCGTCCATCCTGCTTGCGGATGGCTGTCACATACGTTTTCTTGCTGACTTCTGGTTTCTGTTGATGTTATTCGTTCGGACGACAATGACCTTATGTTGCTATTGCAGACCTGAAGGGAAAGATTTCAGCATTCATCGACTTGTCCTGGGGACACACACCTCGGATGAGCAAAACCACCTGGTGATAGCCAGCGTGCAGCTCCCTAACGATGATGCTCAGTTTGATGCGTCACACTACGACAGCGAGAAAGGAGGTAGGAACCTTAATGAAGGGAGTGGTGATGTAGGGGTTGTGTCTTCCATACATTTGGATCAGCTTCTCTATGTAGAAATAAGAGTGAAGCTCAGAAATGCCTCAGCTTTCAGTGTAAATGTTAATTGTAGGTATCAGGAAATTCTTAACATACACTTGGTTCTGTACCTTTGTAACATCCTTGCTTTTACTAAACTGGTGGCAGGTGACTTTTTCTCATTGAAAGAAGCAAAAATCCGCCATTGTTGCCCTATAATATTTTCAACAGAGGGGATATTGCCACTACAGAGATTAGAATTATGTCACAGATGTGGGTAGATGTAAACGGTATTAAGTGTGGGATGTAGAAAACACACAGTGCGTGAACAGAGGATATCAATGATATTAAACATCTCTTTGTGGGTCAGCAGGTGGCGTGGTGGTTAAGGGTGCTGAACTCCCTTGTGGCTGACCACGTTTCAAACCCTGAACCTGGTAGTTTGCTTTCTCTTGTTCCATCTCTCTCACTCTCCCTCTGTCCCTCTCTGGTCAAGTTAAAATAAATAAATAAAATAATTATTTTTAAAATGTTTTTTAAAAATAAATCTCATGGGGAAGCTAAAGGAAAAATGTCTTCAAGGTATTTTAGAGGGGGCTAGCCCTGTAGTATGGTGGTTAAGAGAGCTAGATTCCAAGGACCAGTAGGTGGCATGGTGGTTAAGGCACTGGGTTCCCAAATGGCCGGCTATAGTTTGAGTCCCAGACCCGGCAGCTTGAAAAAGACTCGGCATGAGTTTCTGTGTGCCCAAAATCCTGAGAGGAGAATGGAGGAGAAGGGATAATGGTGGCCATTCTCCCGCAGGGCAATTTCTCACTTTGCTTCTCTGTCTGTGTCTGGCAAGTGTACATGCCCTATGGCAAAAAAAAAAAAAAAACCTGGAAAAATGAAAAATACAAGGCAAGAGTCAGATCCCACATGGCTGACTGTGGTTCTATTCCCAGCTCCTGTGGCTGAAAGCACACTAGATACATGTGTGTGCACGCCCACAGTCCACATAGGGTAAAGAAACGAGAAATGGGAGGAGAAGGAATTGTGTGGGACTATGCCTCATAGGGTTGCTATCTCGCCTTTCTTCTCGGTGTTTCTGTGACTTGTGCATGTACCTTCTGGCAGTAAAAGAAAAACCAGAAGTTTCTTTCTTCTTTTTATTTTATTAAGAGATTTTTTGCTATAAGGTGCATGCGCTCGCCAGAGAGACAGAAAGCGAGAAATCACCCCCCAGGGTAGATGTCCACTCCAGAATCCTTCCTCCTCCACTCTCCTCTTGGGATTATGGACATGTACACACATGCACTTGGTGTGAGTTTCAAGCCACTGGATTCGGAACTTGAATCACAGCCGTCTGTGGGAGTCCAGTGACATAACCTTTATCCATCTGCTGGTCCTCCCCACCCCCACCTTTTTTTTTTTTAAAAGGTTTTTGCCTTAGGGTGTGTGCTCTACCGAGAGAGAGAGAGAGAGAGAGAAGAAATCACCCCTCACAGGACTTTTGGCATCGTGCATACGCACCTGGTGTGATTTTCAAGCCACTGGGTCTAGGACTTGAACTATGGTTGACCATGTGGGAGTCCAGCAACGTAGCTACTACACCATCTGCTGGCTCCAAAACAGGTTTCTTAGAGGGACATTAAGGAAGTCAAGGTTGAGAAACACTGCCTGAAATTACCCTTCTCGGGTTTAATGTAGATATGGCCATGGTACTTGTTATGTGTATACAAATCAAATTTCAGTGAGCCGTCTAATTGCATCCTAGTTTTAAGGGGTAGTTTACTCATGAAATGCTACCGTTCAGAAGAGGTGGGAAATTGTGAGATTTGTGCCCTATCTAATAGATGTCACTGAGATTTTTCTTGATAAGCAGAACCCATTTTTAAATCTAAGTTCTTTTCAGCTCTAGTCATTTGCCAAGGTTATAATCCTGCAGTTTAGTCTTCACTCATTTACTGCAGTGTGATGCAGAATGCAAAATAAGTTCTTAGGATAAAAGTCAGTAAATATATTGTGTCACTGGCTCAAGGGTGTAATTTTAGAATTTGATTTCTGGAAAATTATTCTCCCTGTATCCATCTGTGATTGGGGGGAAAGAACATTGAGTTTAAATCAGAAGAACGGGGATAAGGACCATGCTGTGCCACTAACTGGTTGTGTGTTTTGGGTAGTGGTTTGTCCTCTCTGACCCCAGTCCATATTAGTAGATGAAGAGAAACTGTCTTGGGAACCAGCAGTTAGCGTAATGGCTATGTCGCTGGACTCCCACGTAGTCGACTGCGGTTCGCGTCCTGGACCCGGTGGCTTAAAACTCACGCCGGGCACGTGTGCGTGCGTGCCCAAGATCCCAAGAGGAGAATGGAGAAGGGATTGCAGCGTGGCCATCCCCTCTGGGGGTGATTTCTCGCTTTCTGTCTCTATGTCTCTCTCTGTCTGTCTGGCGAGCACACGCGCCCTATAGTTATATGGAGAGAACAGGCCATGTAGCCTAGTGGTTAAGGAACTGGATCCAACATGTTTTGAGTCCTGGAGTTGAAGACTTGAAAAACTCACCAGGTATATTTGCCATATGTGTCCAATATGCTGATAACGATAGAAAAATGGAGAAGGGATTGAGGTGTGGCCACACTCCAGTTGGCAGATTTTTCCCTCTCCATCTCAGCTAGGGAGCATGTGCCCTCTGGCAAATATTTAAAAAGTGGAGGGAATTTCAAAGAGTTTGTCAAAAAATTGGAATTAAACCATGTATAGGTTTTTTAGAAGACACATTTTTCATGAGGTTTCCTGAAGACTGCTTGTATAATTTTCATTCAAAGCAAATACTATGATTAATAATGTATTAATTGTTTCATAATTTGTGCTAGAAGGCACATGTGCTTGCAGGGGGCTAGAGAAACCACCTTCTCGTGGTGGGGAGTGGTCATGCTAAAGTGTTTATTATTAGATTAGTCCTGAAAATAGATTAGATGTAAAATTTTACTTCAAGCTCTGTTACCAGAATCTTCAAGAGAAATCTCTAGTGTTTTCTTTTTTTTTAAGATTTATTTATTTTTAATTATACTTATTATCATTATTCTTCAATTTTGACCAGAGAGAGACAAAAAGGGAGAGTGAGAAAGCAAGCCTCCAGGTCCAGGACTTGTACCTCGTGGTTGGCCACATGGGAGTCCAGTGCCTCAACCACCACTCTACCTGCTGGTCCCCGAGATCTCTAGTTTTTAATCTAAATTATATATAATAAACTCTTACAAGTTCATGATAAAAATAATTGGGATATTTGACTCGGGCTATTAGAACTTACTCTTCTGGATGGGTAGTTAAGGTGGCTAGATCCCACATGGTGATCATGCAGTTGAGCTCTGGACCTGTTAGCTTGAAAAACGTGGGCGTGTGCATAACCAAAATCCTGAAAGGGAGCAGTGGAGCGAAAAGAATTGTGATGTGACCACACCCTGCTTCTCACTTTCCCTCTAATGGAGGACATGCACCCTCTGACAAATAGGGGGGGAAAAATGCTTCGTTTTAGGTTTATGGTCTCAAAAGTTGAGTGGTCGTAGAGCTCAGAATAGTGGTTACTTGTTTGTGGTGATAATATTGATTAGGTAGGACACAATAGTGTCTTCTGGGGTGTTGAAAATGTTTTTCTTTTGATTTAGATAATATTTTCACTAAGTGCATTTATATATAAGAATTCATCAAGCTACAGAGATGAGTATTCCTATTATGATGTACCACAGGTTGCTTTGTTTTAAATTTTTTTTTTATTTATGATGGAGCACACCTGTATGATACAGTGCCCTCGAGAGGGTCCTGCTGCTCCTATCCAGCTTCAGCCAAGCCCAGATTATGGGCACACCTGTGTCCAGTGTACTCAGGGAGGTCCCCAGGTGCAAACTGGCAACCTTCCCGTGTGGGTCTGTCAGGTAGAGCATTCTGTCTCAGGTTTATCTGTTTCTTCCCTGATTGAAAGAAAGGTGGGCACCCCCAGCAGGGACCATAAGCCACAGTTGCCCCCCCCAGTTCTAGCTGGCCTGAATTATGGGCATACACATGCCCAGTGTGTTCAGCAAGGCCCCAGTGTGCAAACCCAGAACCTCCCCCAGGTGGGTCCTGCTGTCTAATGTGCCACCACTTGGCCCCTGGATTCTTATTACTGTGCTTTCTTCACAGTAGAGAGGCCCACGTTCAGTATATGCCCAATGCTAAAACACCTTCTGTAGGGAGTACTCTTGCTCAGTAGGTGCCATGCCATCCGTTGCCTTTTCCCTGGTACTGGTGTCTGTCTCCTGGTAGCTGTGCTGGTTTTGTTATTGTTGTAGTGAATTGTAGTTGTGTACTTATCTCCCTATGGTTTAGACTGAGCTCCTTAAGGTCACGTACCTTATCATCCCTTTTTTTGTAGGTTAGTAGATGCTTCTGGGCTAGAGTTTTTTTTTTTTTTTTTTTTCTTTCTTTCTTTTTTTTTTTTTTTTTTTTTTTTTTTTTTTGTTTTTCTTTTTTTTTTTTTTTTTTTTTGGAGAGGTTTTTGCTATAGGGCGCGTGCGCTTGCCAGACAGAGACAGAAAGTGAGAAATCACCCCCCAGGGGGGATGGCCACGCCGCAATCCCTTCTCTGTTCTCCTCTCGGGATCTTGGGCATGTACACACACATGCCCAGCATGAGTTTTAAGCCACCAGCTCTAGGATGCAAACTGCAGTCAGCTACATGGGAGTCCAGTGACATAGTCATTACACTAACTGCTGGTCCCTGGGCTAGAGTTCTTGAAGAAATTTATCTTTTTCTCCTCCTTTAGAGTCTGGCTTGAACCAATTGAGACATTTTTCCGATTATAAAAGTTATTTTGAGGGGGCCAGCAGATGGCATGCTGGTTAATGCACTGGACTCCCACATGACTGACCATGATTCGAGTCCAAACCCTAGTGGCTTGCTTTCTTAGTTTCCCTCTCTGTCTCTCTCTGGTCAAAATATTATTTAAAATAATAAAGTGTATAAATTGGTAATTCTTTTAAAAGCTATTTAGAATGACTAGCATATGACTTACTGGTTATGTTGCTGGACTCCCACATAGTCAACTGCAGTTTGAGCCCTGGGCCCAATGGCTTAAAATTCACACTGGGCACATGTGCATGCCCAAAATCCCAAGAGGAGAAGGGTTTATAGCGTGGCTATCTCTCCGTGGGGGTGGGATTTCTCACTTCCTGTCTGTGTCTCCAGCAAGTGCATGCACCCTATAGCAAAAATCTCTTTAAAAAAAAAAAAAAAGAAAGAAAAGAAAAGTTGGGGCCAGCAGGTGGTATGTTTGTTAAAGGTACTGGACTCCCACATGGCTGACCATGGTTTGAGTCCCAGGCAACTTTCTTTCTTTCTCTCTTTCTGTTCTTCTCTGGTCAATTTAAAATGGATGAATAAAGAAAGAAAGTTTAAAAAAAAAAAAAGTTATCTTAGGGGACCAGCAAGTGACGTGGTTCAGGCGCTGGACACTCCCACATGGCTGACCACGGCTTGAGTCCCAGATCTGGTGACTTGCTTTCCCACTTTCTCTCTCTCTCTCCCCCCCGGTCAAATTAAAATAAATGAATGAATAAATAAATTTTAAAAAGTTATTTTTAAATGGAATGTTATATGCTGACCATTTTACCCTTGTATCTCTTTTCTTAGAGTGACTCCTAATTTCTTTGCTTTATGGGTAAGGTATTTATTTGAGGCTCAGGGAGAGTGTAGGCCTTCCCTAAGTTACCACACTAGAAAATGGGATAGTCACTTAGGCCTGGATGTGAGTCTTATTTAGACCTTTCTCTACCTTATTTTACTGCCTTTTGTAATTTTTCAGTCATGAAGTACCATTGTTTATATATTGCTTTGCCGAGATTTCCAGAAGTATATTGTTACACATTTCATAATGGTAGAGGAGTCCCTTAAGTACATGACACTTAATGTGAATAAAAGATGTTTTTGCCTCATCCTTGCCTACCTGGTCTATTTCAGTCAAGGGTTTGGCAAGTGTAAGTAGGAGTTAGGAAATGGAACTAAGTGTGGTGTAGTGACTTTTACCTCACCAGACTAAGAATCTGTAAAGAGAACATGTAGTGTGATGTATTTCAGAAAGGTCATCTCAAACTAGAGCTGCAGGTGAATGGTCTAAGAGGGACACAGGGACTCTTTCAAGCCTAGTACACTGTGAGCTTGATCTTCAACGTAACTGGCAGGCTGGGTAGTGGCTCAGCCAGTGCTCTGCAAGACTGGCCCACCTGGACAGACTCAGTCACCTCTAGAGACACCCCTCCGACCCCAGCACACAGTGCATGTGCGCACCATGATCCAGAGCTTACTGAAGTTGAGGGTGGATCGTGGCATCAAGGCATTGGGGAGGCCAGGAGGTGGCGTAGTGGTTATGGCGCTGGACTCTTACATGGCCAACTGCGGTTTGAGTCCTGGCTTGAAACTGACGCGGGGCACATGTACCTACATGCCCTAAATCCTGAGAGGGGATTGTGGAGCGGCCTTTCCCCCCAGGAGGGGGAGTGATTTCTCACTTCCCCTCTCTCTCTGCATCTCCCATGAGTGCACACTCTATAGCAAAAAATCTCTCTTTAAAAAAAAGTCATATTGGGTGCTCTGCTCTGTCTCTTTCTCAATGTGGAAGAAATAAATGGATTTTTTAAGATAGTAAGTTAAATTTTTTTAAATAATTATTTTATTTATTCATTTTTTTTTTTAATTTGACCAGAAAGCCACATAAAAAGAGAGAGAGGGAAAGTGAGAAAGAAAGCCACCAAGTCTGAGTCTCGAACTGTGGTTGGGCATGTGGTAGTGTCCAACGCCTTAACCACCATGCCACCTGCTGTTCCCCAAGAAATGGAAGTTTAATAGAAAGCTTTAAAAATTAGTAACTTACCTGTTGTACTTTTGAATGAGATTTAAAAACTCTTTATTAAGGACCTCTTTTGAAGTAAAGTTGGTGGTCTTCCTTAATTTCCAGTAATGAGAAATTTTTTACTGGGTGTTCTAGCTGCCAGAAGTGGGAGATATGAAAGCACCCTGAGGTGCTAACACGTTTATCTTCCTGTGCTGGTTTGTTAGTTTGTCTGCCCTAACCTTCTGAGTGATACATGCAGAGTAACTTGTTTGTCCTCATTTGGTATTTATCTTACTTACAGAATTTGGAGGTTTTGGCTCAGTTAGTGGGAAAATCGAAATAGAAATCAAGATCAACCATGAAGGAGAAGTGAACAGGGCTCGTTATATGCCCCAGAACCCTTGTATCATTGCAACAAAGACTCCATCGAGCGACGTGCTTGTTTTCGACTATACAAAGCATCCTTCTAAGCCAGGTACCTGCGCTTTGTGTTTTTAACATTGAGTTTTACGTACTTACTATTTGTAACTTGGCTTTTGTAATGCTTTGTAGTATGACTTCTTGTGATTTAAGTGTGTGGATATTTTTCTTCATGTTTAGTCCCTTCACTGGGAAAAAAAATGCTTTTTTACATAAAAACAGAATGATGGTAAAGCTTAAATATTATGTATTGGGTCAGTGAGTTCTGTATTGTTTATATAAACAACTATTAGGAGTTTTAGACATCTCAATCAAAATTTTATTAGACCCGGGACCAGTAGATGGCATAATGGTTATGTCGTCAAACTCCCACATAGTCAACCACGATTGGAGTTCCAGACCAGGTGGCTTAATACTCACGCCGGGGGGCTAAAAGTAGCGTGTTGGTTAAGACGCTGGACTATCCCACATGGCTGACCGTGGTTCCAGTCCCGGACCTGGCAGCTTGCTTTCTTATTCTCCCTCTCTCTGCCTCTCTTGTCTTTTATCTCTCTCTCTTCTCAAATTGAATAATACTGCTATAAATAATCAATAAAAATTTAAAATTAAAAAGAAAAACACATGGCAAGCGTGTGTACATATGTACCAAAAATCCCAAGAGGAGGTTGGAGAACAATGCATTGCAGTATGACCATCCACTCTGGGACGTGTTTTTCTCTTTCTGTTTCCCTGTCTCTCCCTGTGTCTCTTTGGCAAGCACATGCACCCTATAGCAAAAATCCCTCTTAGAGAAGACTATAGGGCTTCTCAGCTTTTCGCCATGTCTTCTCACAAGACTTTCAGAATCAAGTGGTTTCTGACCAAAAAACAGAAGCAACATCATCCTGTTCCCCATGGATTAGAATGAAAACTGGTAATAAAATCAGATACAACTCCAAGAGCAGACACTGGAGAAGAACCAAGCTGGGTCTACGAGGAACTGGACAGGAGATGGGCCACATATTTATACTGTACCAAGGTCACTGTGGTCTTACTACATCAAGCTAAAAATGATCACCACTGATTGGACACTTGTGTTTATTGGGAAAAATGATGCTTAACTTTGTTTCTAAGTTCTACATTGGTAGGTTGGTTCAGTAATAAATATGTGAGACATTTAGGGAAAAAAAAAAGGAAAAGGCTATAGGGACCAGCAGATAGTATAATGGTTATGTCACTGGATTCCCACACAGCCAACTGTGGTTCAAGTCCCGGCAACTTAAAACTCACACTGGAGGGGCCGGCAAGTGGCGTGGTGGTTAAAGGTGCTGGGCTCCCACGTGGCCGACCACAGTTCAAGTCTTGGACCTGGTAGCTTGCTTTCTCACTTCTCTCTCTCTCTGTCTCTGATCAAACTGGAAAATAACAATGATAATAATAAAAGTTAAATATATTCTCACACTGGGGACATGGATGTGTGTGTCAAAAATCCCAAGTAGAATGGAGAAGGGATTATAGCATGGCCATCCTCCTTAGGGATTGATTTCTTGCTTTCTGCCCCTCTCTCCAGAAAGCGCACATGCCCTATGGCCAAAAAATAAACCAACAAACAAATAAAAATAAGTAAATTTTATTAGCCTCATACTGGGTGGTCTTGATGTGTCCGTTACTTTGCAGACCCTTCTGGAGAGTGCAACCCGGACTTGCGTCTCCGTGGACACCAGAAGGAAGGCTATGGGCTTTCTTGGAACCCGAATCTCAGTGGGCACTTACTTAGTGCTTCCGATGACCACGTGCGTATCCGCCCCATTTTGAAGCAAATCTGGGCTAGTTACCATTTGGTTTCTTTTTCGGGGTGTGTGGGGAGGTGAGAATCTGCCTCTTATGTAATAGTTAATTTTACATTTAAGACCATCTGCCTGTGGGACATCAGTGCCGTTCCGAAGGAAGGCAAAGTGGTGGATGCAAAGACCATCTTTACGGGGCACACGGCGGTGGTGGAAGATGTCTCCTGGCATCTGCTCCATGAGTCTCTCTTTGGATCAGTTGCTGATGATCAGAAACTTATGATGTGAGTAGAGTCCATTGTTTTTTCTTCATGTTTTGTCTGTTTTATATTTAATCACCATTCAAAGCTTTTTCCTTATTTGCTCCCCCCGCCCCCCACAGATGGGATACGCGTTCAAACAATACTTCCAAACCTAGCCACTCAGTGCCTGCCCACACTGCTGAAGTGAACTGCCTCTCTTTCAATCCTTATAGTGAATTCATCCTTGCCACAGGGTCGGCTGACAAGGTCAGTTTGGCTTATTTTAAGAGAAAACAGAATTTCTCTTTGTGTGTGTGTGTGTGTGTATGTGTGTGGTTTCCCTTTGTATAGGGAAAGTACACTCAGAAGACATAGAGTGAATGTGAGAAATCACCCCCAAACGTACCCCACTGCACCCCAGGGAGAATGGCCATTCCACGATCCCTTCTCCTCTGGGTATTTTGGGTATGTGTGCACATACATCCGGCATATTTCCAGGCTGCCAGGTCTGGGACTCGGACTGCATACTCAGCTATGTGGAATCTGCTCCCCTCAACCACCACGCTATCTGGCTGGCTCTCCCATTTTTTGCCCCCCCCCCTTTTTTTTTCCTAATGTGAGAAGATCTCATCATTTTTGTTTTTTTCTTCTTGTTAAAATTACCTTGCTTTCCCCTTTATATGCAGACTGTTGCCCTGTGGGATCTGAGGAATCTGAAACTGAAGTTGCATTCCTTTGAATCACATAAGGATGAAATATTCCAGGTAGGAGAAACTACCACTAATTCATTTTTAAAGGTAAATGTGGATGTGTGAGTTGGCACATGTGTACTTTGTAGCCCATTCCTAAAAGTATCAGAAACCCTCTCTGTGCCTGTGCTAATCTCTGTGGGAAGTGGATTGTTTCTTCTTTGCTTCTGTATTTTTCTTTCCTTTCCTTTTCTTTTCTTTTTTATTTATTTTTTTGAGAGTTTTTTGCTATAGGGCACATGCGCTTGCCAGAGAGACAGAAAAGCAAGAAATTACCCCCTGCGGGGGGAATGGTCACGCCACAATCCCTTCTCCATTCTCCTCTCAGAATCTTGGGCACACACGCCCAGCATGAGTTTAAGCCACTGGGTCTGGGACTCGAACCACGGTCAACTACATGGGAGTCCAGTGACATATCCATTACACCAACTGTTGGTCCTGTGTGTATTTATTTTTAATTTGACCAGAAAGGGGCACAAAGCGAGACAGCAAGGGAGCATGAGAGAGAGAAAGAGGGGGAAAGTGAGAGAGCAAGCTGCCAGGTCCAGGACCTAAACTGTGGTCTTTCATGTGGGAGTCCAGTGCCCTCAACTACCACGCCACCTGCTGGCCCCCAAATTAAATTACCTTTAAAAAAAAAAAAAGCCCTTGGGACTGGCAGGTGCTGGGCTCTTTCACATGGCTGACCACGGTTCAAGTCTCAGATCTGGTGTCTTTCTCTCTCACTTTTTCATCAAATATAATAATAACAAATAAATTTTAAGAGCCCTTTTGGCGCTCTGTGCAGTACCATGGTGGTTGGCAAGAATAAGTGCCTTAAGAAAGGTGGCAGAAAGGGAGCCAAGAAAGTGGTTGATCATTTTCTATAAAAGACTGGTATGATGTGAAAGCACCTGCTATGTTCACCATGAATATTGGGAAAACACTAGTCACCAGCACTCAAGGAGCCAAAAGTGTGCCTGACGGCCTTAAGGACCTTAGGTTTGAAGTGAGCCTTACAGATCTGCAGGATGATGAAGACACATTCAGGAGATTTAGGCTAATTACTGAGGATGTTCAGAGCAAAAACTGCCTGATTAACTTCCATGACATGGATCTTACCCATGGCAAAATGTGTTCCATGGTCAAAAAATGGCAGGCCTTTGTGGGAGCGCATGTCAAGACTACCGATGGTTATTTGCTTCGTCTCTTCTGTGTTGGGTTTACTAAAAACTCAACAGATGTGGAAGACCTCTTACTCCCAGCATCAGCAGGTCTGCCAAATGCGTAAGATGATGGAAATCATGTCCCGGGAGGGTAGACAAATGACTCAAAAGAAGTGGTTGATAAATCGATTCCAGACAGCACTGGAAAAGATGGAGGAAGGGCTTGCAAATCCATCTATCCTCTCCATGGTGTCTTTGTCAGAAAAGTAAAAATGGCGAGGAAGCCCAGGTTTGCATCGGGGAAAACTCGTGGAGCTTCATGGTGAAGGAGGTAGCTCTGGAAAAGCTCCTGGGGATGGGACAGGCACAGAAGTTGAATAGGCTGATGGATATGAACCACCAGTCCAAGAATCTGTTTAAGATCAGATTTTTTTTTAACTTTATTTATTTATTATTTAAATTTGATGGGAGGGACACAAGCTGCCAGGTCCGGGACCCGAATCATAGTCAACCATGTGGCAGTCCAGCACCCTTAACCACCATGCCACTTGGTGGTCTGTAAAGATCAGACTTTTGTTTTTGAGAGAGAGAGATTTTCGTTGTATGGCATGTGTGCTTGCCGGAAAGACAGAGACAGAGACAGAAAGCGAGAAATCACCTCCCGGTGGGGATGGCCACGCTGCAGTCCCTTCTCCTTTTTCCTCTCGGGATCTTGGGCACACATGCACACGCGCCCGGCGTGAGTTTAAGCCACCGGGTCCAGGACTCGAACCACGATCGACTACATACATGGGAATCCCGTGACATAGCCATTACAATAATTACTGGTCCCTTAAAGATCAGACTTTTAATAATGACAAAAAAAAAAGTTCTGTTTGCACAGAGAGGGGAAAAAATCCACACACACATGGGCACGTGGAAGAAAAAAAAAA